CTAACTACCAATAATTGATTTTAGATAGGACCCAATACATCCGTCAGCCACAAAGTGTTTACTGTCGTAACTGGAACCGACTACAGAGACGGTCGTTTGCACCGACCCCTTCATCAACCGAAACTACGGACACCTCGGCACGTATTTTATCTCTCAAACCATACCTGGTCAGTACATGCTTTGTCTCAAGAGGCCAGATGTTCCAGCTACATCTGTATTTGTTAGGTGATGGTATTCTTTTGTCATCTCATGGAGTAAGGACTGAGGTATCACCGCCAACTAACTTCAGTCGTCCTCTAGCTATGCCAAAGTTCCATAGGCGTACAACCGTAGTCTGTCATTTGCCTAAGGAGCGTCGTTAGCTCTCTAAGCATCTTGGGTTGCACTACTTCCATTCCACTAGTAATCATCCGTGTTACTGTGTTCAGGTTAGGATCTAAATTTTCATAGCAAGCAAGTCTTAATAGATCTTGTTCTAATGCATGCACTCGTATGAAATCTTAGTTTCATCTTCTGGTTTAGGTGAAAATTCTGTCATTAAATTATCTTTCTCTAGGACGTAAAAGGCTGCGAAATAATACTCTTATAGGTGTTATATCCACCATAACAATTTACCACGCAACTTGTGTAGCCTTCAGTGACTGAAGACGGTTGTGCTCTGTTTTGATATGAAAGCGTTGACAGATCAGATGAAGTCTCCATTAATATATCCTGACACTATTGCTGAACATTCCTCCAAGACCGCTGAATACTTCTGCGGCATAATCGTCAACTCCTACTCCGTATGAAATTCCATATTGGTTTGTTTATTAGATATATCACGCAGTATTATTTACTGGATGACAGCGTTTCGAACAAAATTTATTGTTCATAATCATATCACTTATAATCACACCACTTCTACTCCGCATGACTTGAATCCCTAGACACCGTGAACCGTTTTCTAGATGAGTATTTTTAATATCATTTGCTGGTTTTTAAGGACTGATTAATGCAGTCGCGTGTCGCCTGTAACCCTTTTGACCAAACTAATTTCGAAGCACATATCAGTCTATACAATAGAGGTGTTATCTAATATAAGTATAAAACTTGGGCACTATGGTGCAGTATAACTCATTATGGATAAGATTTCATTTTGATAAATCACATAGTGTTGTACATTAATATTTACTGATGACGTTTCGAGCGCAATTTATTACTGCTCATAATCCTATCAATGTACTGACATTACTTTCTTGCTTCGTTTATATACGTGAGTAAAATTGATTAGACATTTGAATAAAATCAATATAAGACATAGTACATTCGGAAATAATATTAACATTATCAATCAAATACAGTCAGATGGGAAGTAAGATGTTTTTAAAGTAAAAATAAGTAAATTATTAGAATGTTATAATGTGAATTGAATACATTTTAACATTATTTATTATTCTCCAATTTCACAGGTAGTAATATCTTCCATATCTCTGGGATTTGCGTTGGGTCATTTCTGTTGCATGTGTTGCGTGTAGACTCGATGAACAAGGATTCAGTAATCAGTGTCTCTCTCCACCTACCCATATTACATTTTAGAATCTTATCCATAATAGAGATGCTATCTCACTGGTGTTCCGACACACCAACTATAAAGTGCTGCTAACCTCCACTACTGTCGCAGCGTCCTCTTCGAATTCAGGTTAACATTAGCATTTATCGTCCTATTAAGCACTAAACCAGTTTCCGAGTGAAAACAGGAATCCGCCTAAATCGATCTAAGAACGAATATTATGCGTGTTTCAAAGCCAAGCAAATAGAAAGACTTATCCAAAACTATTCCTTATGATTCAGATGTATTCTAGTAAAAATTTATGGCAGAACATTCCTTTTTCATTGGACACTAGTAACTAGTGTGATGTGTCTAGTCCTTTCTTTGGTGCAGACTGAATTCTATCAGTCAGGTTTGCAATGTGGCCACCATTCTAGGTACATTCGTTTTCTGAAGGTTTTTGCACAAACTATGAGATTCAATGAAACGTCAGTAACACCCAAAACTACGAGGTATTACACCGTAGAACTCCTAACACTCTAGACTCATATTTACACTTTAATTACACTTAAATCATAAAACAATGGTTCCACTTATCGAATATTAGTCGTTTGGTTGAATGTGATTATCTAGGTAAATTCATACACATGCTGGTATTACATTCACATGACTTATTCCTGAGTAGTATTTACCGTTTCTACCATGATTCCCTTTGATAAGGGTAGAGGTGAAATATGTTTTACACATGCTAGACATAGCGAAAGTTAACAAACTACGAAAATGAACAATACTACAAAGGTCCTTTCTTAATTAAGAACTTTCTATGTACAGCATTAGCTATAGCACACACATTTTTCTTGTAAAGTGAAAACAACCTAAGAAATCCAACAATTTACATCTATTCAATTTCAGATAAACCCTACAAAGTCAATCTGATTAAACTATATGAAACACATTAATTAATCGTATGTTGGTTCGCTATGTCTTATCACTTCCTTTTGTAACGACAGAAGACAAGGGGCCAAGCAACAAGTCGTTTATTGGGATATTTATGTATATTATTGTCAGCTGGGAAGTAGCGTCTTCTGATTGGTTGTTTTTTGCTGAAGGTTATTCCGTACTGCTTGTGACCGTTTCTTAGAAAGCTAAGCCATATATCTGCGAATCGTGTTTACACACGTTAAATCTGCTGTGATTGGTTGGTGAGTTCCTCAAGGTTCAGCTTTGTTATTGTTTTTTCTCATGATCCCGATTCGGGAGGTAAACATTGATGTTGTCTACAATTTTGACTTGCAGACAGCTCTCACCACACTTTACTCTCTTTCTAGGGATTATCTCAGAAAATGTTCGAAAGTTAATAACTAGTCAACGTTGAATATTAAGTCAGTATTTAAACAATCGTGATACTTACTTTTCCTCAATATCCAATATTAAATCACAGAAATCAAGAAAATAATAAAATATGTCAAAGCATAATGTGGTAGGTAAGGTTAGTGATTTAATTGGAGAATCCTTCGAAGACATTCATAGAATTTTCTTTCTAACTGTATCGTGAAAATGACTGTATGCTAAGAATATTAATTTTTGTGAAACGGCAAATACAGTGCAAAGAAATCATATGAACTTTACGATCGATGACTGTTATGAGCGAGTAGTGACACGACCGTCTTGTTATGTTACTTATGTTAGGTTGAATTTGCAGAGGCAGTAATAGATATCTCTAATACACTCTCAACAGTACACGTACTGATAGGTGTTAAGTGTGACAGTTGAGTGACTGGTTTCAACATAGAACTTTGCACAGATGTGCAGCAGTTCGAGTACACACACTCCCTCCATGTAGCACACAAAGCAAGAGAAGAAATGAAAAATAGAGACAGTAAACAGAGATAAGAGACAAGAGGATTAGTAATAACGAGGAGCAATAGTTTTATTTTAAATTATAAGTCACAAGGAATGGATGCATCTGCGCCAGCCATTGAGAACGATTTTGAGCCATATCACCGATTGTCTCCAGCTTTTGGTATTTACCGTCCCGAGGACCCCAACCAGGAAGCCAGTCTAAACCTCCTTACGTGGCTGGCTAGCTTGAACTAACTGTTGTGGATTTCACTGACTGATGAAGCCTTGTTTTGGTTTGACCACCAGTGGCTCTTTTGCGTCCTGACCCTATATCAGCTAACACTGCCCGTCGAGGAAGGCGATAGCTAGGTATGAGTAATACATGCTTAACCATTTCAATCGATGTAGCCTTACAGCCCCGTTTACTGATCTCCTCTTTACCTAGCACTCGACTCCTTACCTCAATATCGCTCACCTTGTTATACGACTTTACATGGGAGATAGAACGCAGACACCTATGATCAAAGAAAGCTAGCCGGGTTTTTCTTATTTTCCACTCCCAATGGCCAGGTGTCACAGCCATGAAGGAGCCAACTGCTGAGCAGTACACCCGCCCTTTGGTCGACAGCCAGGCGGATATCACGTCTACGCCAAAGATGGCGTAAACTAGTATGTGCGAAACTAGCCCTGTGTATCCGTGCTGAGATTTCGTCAGCAATAAACCCACTGGCGTTGGCTGATGCAAATTCCCAAATAAGTGAAGCGGTCAATGTGCTCTACCATCTTAGTCGCTATTTCTAAACTAGGAGTCAGTGTAGTCCAGTCTATAGCATCATCTTACATTTGGCGCAAGCAAATCGCATGCTAAACATTCGCAGATTGCAGCTCAAGGTGTTCAGAAGACTCTGCATTTTGTCAGCGTCTTCACTTTGTTGGGAGGACTATGTCATCTGCATATTCTAAGTCAACAAGATTATCTCCTGGTAGCAAGTCAGTGACAATGCTTTTGTTTTAATAGAGTTGGCATTTTTCTCACAAAATGTGAATATTCCTTCGCTTGGTCTTTTTTGCTTTCTTACTAAATGTCCTCCCTACAATTAAAATATATCACTCATCACAGGTTCTATATTCATAATCAGCATAATCCTTTTTTAACAAAATAACTTCAGATGACTAAACATATACAAACTTGAATTCACTACACAGCCATATATCCAGCGGGGTTAAAACCGGTAATCTCATCTCTCTTATGACTTCTTCAGTGTTTATTTACCTTATCTTCTTCTACAAATAACGATTAAATCTGAGCTTACCTTGCCCAACCACACTAAGATGAATGGAAAAATGTATACACACACCCAGTAGACAAGAGACATTTTGTTAACCGGATAGAATTACAAAAAAAATTAAAACAGAGCATTCCAACTGGAAAAAGAAGAACCAAGAATGTGTGAAATAGAATAGAATAGAAAGCAAACAAAATTGTACAACAAAACGGGTATTACACCCCCAAATAGTAAGAAGAAAAAAAGCATATCAAAATGGTGGAAATAAAATTGTTGAACTACGATTGACTAATATAACAAAACATAGAAAATGTGTCTATTTGGAGAGAGAGAGAGATACCACATCACAATTCCACTTTCACGTCATCGTCTTCTTCGATAGGCTGAAATTGAAAACCAAAAAGGTCAGTCATATAATGAAATATCTAATAAGGTAAGTAGTGATTATAATTTCCCAAAATGGCTAATTTTGAATAAACATTTTTTGTTCAAGTGTTGGTTTGTAGGGATTTGATTGGTTACCGGATTTCATCATGAGATGACATTAGTTAGAGAACCATTGGAAAACCTGGGAGTATTGGGCAGCTTTTCGTCCTAGTTCGGGACTCTTCAGCAGTACACACCCACGGGGCTGGAACCCAGGACCTTCTGGTTACAAGGCAAGCTAGCCCGTAGACCATTAAGCCACTGGGACCCGATCCAATGGCCAACGTATGAATTCTAACTTCTGCCAATTCATGACATAGCGCGACCCCAGTCAATGTCTTCGGCGAGTATTTGTCCTCACACCCAACTTCTCACTAGAACCACAGATAACTACCTACCTGAAAGGGACAAGTCGCTAGTGAGCATCTCATTGTTATTCAAGTGTTGGATCGAGTCCCGGTGGCTTAATGGTATACGAGCTAGCTCGCCTTGTAACCAGAAGGTCCTGGGTTCTAACCGTGTTGGTGGGTGCGTACTGATGAAGAGTCTCAAACTAGGACGAAACAGTCGTCCAGTACTCCCAGGTTTTCCAATGGTTCGCTAACTAATGTCAGCTCATGATGAAATCCTGAAACCACTTTTGGTTTTAACCTCTCCCCACCTCACCCCAGTTTAAATAGTGTAACTTTGCTTGTCTCTTGTTTCTATGACTTTAGTTGAACTAACTGTATTATTATTCAGTTTAATTAGTTACTCATCATCTTACTCACCTCTCGTCTTTATTATGCAGCTCCTTTACCACTGTATACAAACGTTTATTTTCGTTGAAACTTGAACTTTATGGATGAAAACTGTATAAGTATAATTTTCTGAGGGCTTTTTATTAAGTTTAGTGCCTCCTATCCACCGATATCATGTAGCATTTGCAAGTAGGTTAAAATTGTCCTGTAAATAAACTTATTTCATTTCCCTAGGCTGTACGCAACTGATGAGAAGCCAACGAAATAAATGATGGTGCTATCTTACTCTGCACAAACTACTCTTCTTGCTTTATCCAAATTCATAATGGAAAATAATTGTATGGAGAACAGATACAAGGTAGACGACAGTGCAGATATGTGCAAGCTGCAGGATGTGGGCATGAATTTACATTGATAGAATGCAATGACTACTCATTTATTCACATGGTGAATATCATCAAGATGAATGACAATCGTAGCTCATACTTTTTCTATTGTTTCAAAGTTGAGTAGCTGGACTAGTGTGATAGACAACCCAGGAATAATCACATCATGGATGATAAGTGTAACCAATTCATCTGCTGAACTCTAGTGTATGATGGCCATCTAAACTAATGGGTGAGTTCCCATTTAAATAAATATGGGACCAGATAAAGAGAGAACCACGGAGAATAGGACAAAGTGCAGACGTGTTTTAAAAGCCTTATTTTTCACTCGGAACCTAAGGGAACAATAATTATTATCATTAAATTTCCCAGTTATAGTTTCAATATTTATCGTCTAGTGATGCTTGCTGCGTACCACCTTCAAAAAACTAGTATTGTCATTTATCAAGATAAATCGTCGAGTTACAACTATTTACCTAGACTTCAGAATCTTAGAATGACTGCAAAATTTATGGTGAATGTTAGTGAACATTAGTTTTACTTCACTTTAAATTTGCTAATGGTGTGAGTTGCCTAGAATAAAGAAATAGATGAAGGCTACTGTCAAATCACTTAAAAGTCAGATAATCGATACAGTTTCTTCTATGTAGTCTGTTACGAGTACCACTTATGTAAGAAAGTTGAGGCTGGTATAGCCAGGGTGGGTTTCAGGCCGAGTGATTAAGACAATCAACCACATTGTAATTATTATAAGCGTGACTAACAGTAAAATGTGAAAACGACGAAATTATGCGAAAGCTAATAAAATATTAAACAGTTGGGTTTACCTTGGCATCTTTCCCGTCCCATGGTTCAACTGTTTTTATTTCGGGCAAAGATTTTACATCAAATAAGGGAAGGTTAGCACCACCAACTGAGAGTGCCCTTAGAAATTCATGAACGCTGTTTGAACTGAATGAACCTCGAAGTGTAGTCCTTTTCATTTTACGACCATGCACAGCTACCATAGCCTATGAAACAGAATAATAAAGATAATTTTTTTACTGTTCATCCAATATATTTAAATAAATGAACAGTAAAGCAGAAGTATTCATGTTTGAATTCAACAAATATATGGAAGAAAATGGAGATGGATTGGGCACACACTGAGGAGATTGTTGAATGATGTCGCGTGCCAAGCCCTCAAGTGAGATCTGAATGGAAAACAACTAGTCTCCGAGGGTGACAAGAAGGAAATCATGCGAGGAGGTCATAGACAATGGGCAATCGTGTTTGCGGGGGGGGCATCAGAATATAGAACAAGGTGGAGAGGTGCTGTTGGAGCTACTTGGAACCGAAGGGAACAGTAATTATAATATAATTTGTATTCGATCTCTTTTTTCGAATTCTCAGAATAGTAAAGCAGCAAACTCAGACAACAAACTACAGTGGATAGAGTAATTCTTAATATTTCCAGTCACAGTTTTGGTAAGCTTACTAATTCAGTTATTTCATTTACATAAAGACTGACATTGATCTACTGTGTAATGACTGAAAAACGGAAACTATGCCAGCTGGAGAATTCGGGATGCTCAAAGCTGTAGCGCACAATGCAGCTACTTTTCAGTACTATTATATCAAGACTTGTACAAAACAGTATATCTGAGTTGCATGTTTGCTCTGATAGGTTTATCAGTATTGGTGAAATCACTGTCAATCTGCGATTATGACTATGTATAAGAATCTTGCTGTTTATAGATGGGACAGAAAGTACATTAAGTACAAAAAGGCATTACTCGTGTAGGAGACCGATAGTCTGTAAAACAGTCTCAAGAGATTATAATATAGTTTTCTTGAAAATTGGTCCATAGCCAGATTGACTCAGTTTATATTAAACGGTGTAAAGATCACCAAAATGCAAGCTATACAATATATATACTGCTAAATGATATGGAAAGTTGAAAGTCTTTCCCATTTAAATATGGTGTCGATTAGGTCATATTTTGTGATGTGAATAATTTTGTTTTGCAAACACAACTTTGGATCGATCATTTTGTAAACAGTCAATTCAGTGCTGTGTATACCAGCCACCACATGTAGTTGATATGAAACGTGATTCGAACTTAATCTGCTTTATGAACTGCAACAATCTATGTAGACAGCTGATGAGCTAGGAGCTCCAAATGAATAGAAAGGCTTTCGGGTATTTGAACTCCCCCGGCGACGCCTAGCCAGCGCACTAGTGGTGAGATATGAATGATTTTCTGGCACTTATATGTAGTAATATCTTAAGTCAGTAAATTATGGGCGGATAGCTTCTTGGCATTACAAATCCTCCGGGTACTGAAGATAGTGACAACACAATGACTAAGCACACAATGTTGAGTAAAAAGGTTCGTGTCTCCACGATGTCAAACCACCAAACCTTGGAAACAAGTAACTTATCCAGTAAACAATGTCTGAATCAAATGATAATATAGATTAGTTTAACCAAATATGTTAGTGTATCTGGTAAACTGTTGCTTTTACTGCAAATACTTCAACAGTGAAAGTCTTTAGAAGGCTTTTGATCGGATGCACTTCTCTACTAACAGTCACACTATATTAAAAAAAATAGTGTTGTTGTCAATGTCTACAAGTTACAAAAACAGTGAAATGAATCACCTTTTTATGATGTGAAAATAATTACTGTCAAAAATAAACAATAATTCAAAATGTCAGTTGTTGTAAGAACGTTTTGAAAAATAAAATCCGTTAATTCATATTACGGGCTATGGTTATAAATCTTAAACAATCAAATCACTCAATTAACAAGTGGATTTAAACAAAAAAGTATAGCGGTTTAAGTGATACTGTTTTAAATTAAAAAAGCATATTTGACAACGCCTTGATGCCCGCCTTTATTTATAACAAAAGGCATATCATTTGTCTTTAATGGTGAGCAAATTTTCGGGTCTATTCAGAAAAAACTGAAGAGAATATGAAGGTGTTTCAGGCTACTACTAAGAATGAAAAACTACAAACTTGTAGAAGTAATAAGTACCTCTGAGAATCGACTGGAAAACACCTGACGACTATTAACAATATAACCCGGAACATAAGGAAGAACAATATTACATGATGCATGTAAAAACTAAACTACACCATAAGAATATACAAAAAATGAAGCGACTTTAACTTAAAGACATTACACACAAGTAAATAATGTTTTAAAACTTACTGGATAACCTGAACCACCGATGTCGAATGCCTTTTCCAATTCTGGATGCTTAAGAGCTTCAGTCCAAAGCCATCTGTAAAAGTAAGTAATCAATTTTTAATTGCTGAAATCAATACATAACGAATGTGTCTTAGCCAGGTCGATGGCTAACAAATTGAATTTTAAATACTTAGGCCTATGCGTTATCGTTGCATTGAGACAATAACACGTTGTTCATTGATGTCACATTAGATTATGAGTTGTTTATAGCTGCTATACAAGACACAATTTTATGCAATATAGTAGACTGCAAGCCAGATAGACGAATTATCAGCCAATCAGTCATTTATAAATCAATAGACAAAAAAATAATACAATTTACAATTTTAAGTAGATTCGTCTTAGTTTTAATCATTCAGGCAGAACTGAATATCATGAACTGGTTTAATAACGTACCCCCATTTCTGTTTTTTGAAATTGCCAGCTTCAGTCTTCAGTATGTCTATGTATTTGTTACGACAATCTGATTGACAATCGTATAGCATAGGAAATACACTGATTATGCAGAGTGGATGATTTTCACACGCCTCTTTTAGATTATCTGCTGAAATAAGTTCAGTAACCTCAGGTGTAGGTGCTAAAGCATCTGCTTTCTCCATAGCCCAAGCAACAATTGCTTCAGAAGTTCGGCCTCCATCATAATCAATTGGATCATCAGTTTTGGGTCCAGCGGGGAAGAATTTAATGGTAGGAAAACCTCGAATCTAAACCCCCAAAAATAGCATAGATAATTATGATATGTGGAACGATGAATCGAGATTTTCACATAGTACTACAAAACAACTTTTATTTAGGTTATGAACAAAACAAAGTAGGTCACCCACAACAATAAAAATTATACAAGCTAGGAAACGATACGGGACAGTGAAATTTTTTCCTAGCCACTTCCACAGAGTTAGGGTGTTCTATTGGTTACTGCCATTGGATAAGTTAATTACAACATACTAGAGTAAGAAATAACTAGGGAAAAGTAGTGAACATTTACCCACCTCAGCTGTTACAGAAAAAGACACCAAAACTTAAGATAAAGAGACTTGGTCAATCATTCTACCTCTCATACCTTTAATTTTCGGCATATCAAACCGTTTTAATAGCACTGTTTCCGACTTCTCTGATTCTGTTTGCTTTTCATATTATGTCAATTTTGCCTTGTCTCTCTACCTTCTGTAATAACAATCCACTCATTAAACCGTTACAGCATGTTACCCAGTCTTGGTCATCTTTATCGTATTCCAAAGCATGTCTATATCAATATTTACAACTTTGTGGCAATGCTGGAACCTTTTTGTTTAGATGACATATTTTATGTGTTACTGTATCATTTTGACGAAAACAATTGTGTAAACATTAACCACATTCATGAGGAAAAGGGGAAATCATCTACTGTGCAAAACAGTGACATGAAAAATAGAACTTACACCATACTTCTGAGTCATTTGACTGTGGACTGTAGAATCCAAGGCTCCAAGCTTCATGACTCCTTTCAATTCACGTGCTGCCTGGTACCAATGGGGCTTCAGATTTTTACCTAGACAGATACGAAAGCATAAGTAATATATACAAAGAAATAGTAATCGAACAATTTCTGACTGAGCACTCAAAAGGCCACTGTATGCCACGGGGTTTTTATAAAATTTAATGCAAATGTAAGGTCTAACTAAAAATGAAGAAAGCAAAAATAGCTAATATGAAACTACTAATGAGTGTGAAGCTTCGACACTGTCATAGTATGCAATCCCATAGTAATTTGTTTACTGGTTTTATAACGCGGTGAAACTATGTGATGTGGTATAATTATAAGCAATAAATTGTGTTCGCAATGTCATCCAGTAAATAAAAATAATAATAGTTTACACATTCGTAAATAAACTATAGTAGGCATCTTTAAGGTAATTGAATTATTATGATCCTGAAGGAGAAAGTTATCAACCACTATTTAATGCTTTCTGCAATGAGATAAAACATAATTACAAACTGCATTCCCTTATTGAGCTGTAGTTACGATTTTACCAACTCATAACACAGAAAGAAGAAGAATACAACTAACCCAAACAGGTAAACATCAGCAAAACAAACTGTACATTAATTAGGGCAAGTATTAATAGGTATAAACCTATTTCTAAACTAAATCTTAAAACTTCTCTTCTTCAGTTAGCTTAACAGAAAGATTATAAGTTGCAATATATGCAACTAAAGTTAGCGTCTAGAGTACTCATATTACCAGTGTGTAAAAATTAGCAAATACGCGAGGCGAAAAGTCAAACTTAAAGGATGTTACTGATTCATCCAGTTCATCCGAAACTAGAATGCTAACAAACTATTCGACTACTTGGTTATCGCACGCTTTTCACACTGATAAAATAGGTTTCTCCCACACCACTAAATGTAACAAAGAGGTTACCAAGACTTCATTCTACAAGTAAGATTTAAATAATGTAGAGTTTTAACAAAACCGAACTTGTTATATTTACCCTACACCACAATCGATGTAGCTAAAGGTCAACAGCCATGTATGGCATACTGTCCAAACATGCAGTCTGACACGATATAATCGGAAAAAACTGGCCGAAAGGATAAACAGTTTTGATAGATAACAATAGTAATTAAGTTCAGAGGCATGTTGAATATTGAATCTTCACCTAAAGCGTGCAGCAGAAATGATGTCTTTTTAATCTGCTGAGGTCCCGGCAGAAAATGAGAATGACGAACAGGAATTCCGCAGGAAAAGTAATAAATCTCTACTGTTTAAGGACAATGACCACGATCCTACTTTTTCGATTAACATAAGAATAAGTATAGAGAAATTATTGTGAGGTAGAATAAATCACACTTACAATGGCCACACCATGGAGCGAAAAATTCCACTAACCACGGTTCTTGACTGTTTAGAACCTTTTCATTGAAATTGCTGTCAGTTAACTTGATTACATCAGATTCAGAGGAATCGTCCTAATGAGGAAAATGAAAGACAAATGATATTATGGTATGAAAAAAGCACTGGGTATAACAGTATAAATTTAAACAATAAATATTATAATTCACAGTTATGGATGGATACTTCAGAAACTTTAAAGTTATGTTCTCACTCCTAGGGAGAGAAACTACAACAGGTCCTAGGACTCGGTAACTAGGTGATTAGGCTTTTCAAAAGTTAGATGATTTTATGATCAATTTCGGTAGAGAAAGGTTAACAACAGCAAGTATTGCATAGTCGAAATCCTGGTATTTGTACAGAATTTTTGATCGAATATTAATTTTGCTACGATTACAATTGAGACTAACACATAGTTTACATGAACATATTCTACACAAACATTCCAGAATCAGACATCTTACAGTATGCCACTGATCAACTCTGAATGACGCTTGACTTAGGTTGAGAACCTCATCGTTTTCATAACGGTAAGATGGACGACCTACGGCACGAAGTAAAATAGTCAAACTACATGCACATATGTCGACAAAAAGTGATAAGCCAAGTAAACTAGCGACCATACCTATATACTCTTCTGCCACGACTAATGAAATACCATCCCGTTTTAAGACAGTGGTTTTGAATAAGATACAATCTTTTGACTAGACTGAAAGAAAGCCAAGAGCATAAGCTCATAAAGTGTGTCTTTACCAATGACTACAAGATTTGAATAAAGCAAGAACAACAGATTTTGAAGAATAAAACAGTATCATCATTTATTTCGTTGATTAAAAGGTTGTTAAGACGTACTGAACACGATAACGAGTCCGTTGCTTCAGAGATTAATATCGTGTTTGTCATAACCATAATCTTTCCCAATTTAACTGTTTCAATTAACATCATTCATTGTGTAAAGCAGTGAATCAGCACACATAACACATGCTCCAACCACCTTAGTCAGTGAAGATTGACAACCTCATCAGTTGACTGGTCTCCTCTATCCCTTACCTACATTACCATTTTATTTAAAGTAAGGTTGGCCAGTTAAAGAAAGCATTCATAGTCACACTTGTTTTCCATGTCTTCTGCCATTAAAGTTGCCATTTTACCCAGTAATTATAAGATAACGGCTAAATTGTGGTCAGTGACCTATCGGTTTTTACTTGGTAGCCAAATATCATGTCTAAAAACATTGAGACTTTAGGGTGAGTTAAAATATAGAAGATAAAAATTTCCATCCATGCAAAGAAATATAATAAACAATTATTAAGACTAAACGCCTATGAAAGTGAACACCTACTGATGAAGCAGATCCCGTCCTTGAGTTCACCAGTGAAACCAATTCGCGTAAAGCTTCCTTGTTAAGACTTTCAATATCTCTGCCACCTTTAAAACAGATTAACCCTTAATAAGAATCGTACCTTTGTAAGCTTTAGGACTGTATTTGTTGTCTCCAAAAATCATAATTGTCGGATAACCTTGAATTGAGAACCGTTGTGTTACTCCAGGGTTGCTATCTGAATCTACAGCGCCAACTTTTACAATTCCCTATTTGTGTCACATATGTATTTATTTAAACATACCTTAAAGTTAGTTGCGAGTCGCTTCCAATCTGGTACGGCGTTTTTACTATGGCCGCACCAAGGTGCATAAAACATTACAAACCACAGCTCCTTGCTTGATGTCACAGTATCGAAATTCTGGTCAGTTAGTTTAATAACATCATCACTGGGACTGAAGAGACATAATACTGGACTCAACACTGCGCAGAAAACTGCAAAAAAAATTTAGATACGCGATTATATCAGGTATTAAATTGTAAACTTTACGCGTCATTATCTCTTATAATCAATGCAAATCAGCAATTGCAACAAAATAATAACTGGACACTTTTATGAAATAGCAAATACGGAACTGCATATTACATATCATAGTCTGACCTTATCTACGAATATTTAATTCAGGTTATAGTATGTTCTACCAACCGATAAAATAAAAGATTCCAATCAGATCAATGTGATTATTGTACTACGATTGCGTAAGTAGGTGATATTTACAGATTTCGCTAATTAAGGACGTGACAAATGAACACTGATTACTCTAAATATGTCATTCCCATTATGACTAATAAGATGCTTTCTGACAACTCGAAATAAATATAATCATCTGCTAACTGCAACTGACTTTCCTCCTCGAGAACTTCGACAGTACCATTTAGGAAGTGGTCAGTAAAAACTCTGTAGTTACTTAATCATGGGTAATTAGGGTAAATTAAGACAGTGCTCGCATACATATCACAGCCCGTTACAAAAGAATCACTTAAATCCTGGAATCTGACGTGAAGTAAACGTACCCCGAGTAATGCATCCGGGATACGGTATACATAATCTGGCCTACAACGTCGGAACGGAACCAGTCTTACTTTTTTATGACTATCAGAAAATATATAACTTTGAAACAGTCAAACACACCACTAAGACACCGGTGAAGAAACCACGCAAAAGGCTCAAAGTAAGGCGATACGTATGATTTACGGCGCGACTAATTTATCATAAATTGAAAGACTAAACGGTTTGAATCTCCTGGTCATACCGTAGGTAGACATCTTAATAAAATGTCTAAATTTTCAAGTGAAGACTACGGACCTGATTTATTTACTTTCCTACCAAGTCGCAACACCTCAGAGGATAAAGAAGAGTTGAAAAACCAAGGGGGCCTACGTCACTATGCAGTACTAGTTTTCATATTTATTCATAAACCCTTTCAACCGACCATCAGTGGAAATGGTGTCAGGGCTATCAACTGACTCATTTAGGAAGGGTTTGGGGATGCACAGAAGTTTATTAATAAAGGATTAATATAGGCTACAAGCCTTCTACCATCCATTAGAAGGTCTGGAAGGCATAATAGCAACTAGAAATTAATTATTTTTCAGTCTTGCGTTAAAGTCGCTAACAGAAATTGTGGTGACTGATACATAACTACATCCTATAAAGTCATTTAAAAAAGTTCCGAATACTTAGTTCATAATATTCATCTAGTATGGAGTCGATACATCAACAAATTAAATTAAAATAAATACATTAATGATAAAGACAATGATCGATAAACGTAGGTTGTGACATATAGACGCGTGTATATATTTTATAAACAAGGTATATGGTGTGGTCACCACAGCATGCTGTGTACAATTATAATTGTGGTGCTTATAACCACCACATTCAATAAGTATGCGTTGAGTTCATTTTCCGAATAGCAAAACAAACTCAAATTACATGTGATGCCACTCTATGCAGTGAATTGTCGGATTCCAGTTGATGTCATTGTCCACTAAATCTAACATAACACATCACCATGTAAGCTTTACACGTATGATAAAATCGTAAATAAGAGATAGTTCTTAAGTCCAAGACTACATCTACAAGACACAAACTCCAAACTCAGTATAAATTAACAGATGTGTATCGAAAAAATACCAAATGAAATAGGACATACCAAGAAGACGTATCATATTGCCGAAATCCTGAACCAACCGCCAAAGGAAATCCCTAAGTAGATATGTGAGAATCTCATTGGATAATATTTATACAGTTTAAGTAGTAAAACAAATAAACTGTGTATGTACTGTTTCAATTCCCACAGGTTTCTTTCGACTCTGCTTCATGCGGTTTCGCCCATTTTAAACGAAAAATGCTGTCTATTATACATGGATAAAGGTGTGCCATTCATATCTGCAAATCTTAAAAAAGGACTATGGTCTTCTTCAATTGTTTGGTTTCCCTTGATGTGAAGTTATCAGCATAATACTATTCATCACGCCACGTAACTTTTAGATCTTTGAAGTCGAAAAATCGTGGGTACATCTTATGTGACATTAGGTATCTTTTATAGGACATTCGGGAGTGTGGTAGGATAATAACCTGAAATATCTACGTTGGAAATTTTATTCTTACAACTTTCAGTCTTCTCATAAATAAGTAGACGATTATGAATACAATCGCCCCACTTCTCCAGAAATGTCTTGGCCCAAGAACCAGGCTATTTCCCACATAGGCACGCAAAATTAGTCAGTAGGCTTTTCCTACTGGATAAGGTTTAAAAGCTTCCATTCCCACTGCCCAAGGATCCCTCTCTTTGTCAGGTTTTTACATATGTTCATTTACATTTGGATTTTTCCAGTTAAGCTAGTAGGCATCTTAAATCCACAAGATTTGCTACAAGATTTTACTGTCCCACGAGAGAAACGTTAGTTTCACACTCGCCCCACTGAACTAGGACAACACATGTGTCTAGCACACCTAGGATTTCCGATGGTTCTTCAACCGATGTCAGCTCATAATGAAATCACGTAGTCATTTACAAATGTCTGTTGGAAACTGTGGGTAAGCCCAAGGTATTGATCGAAAACAGAAATTAGACTCAAAATAAAAATATTCCTTTAGAGTTATTAGGTAACTAATCCATTTCTTTTTACAGACTACCATAGACTGTAAACAGGTCAGTTCGGCCTATCCATCTGTCACTTGTGCCACAATCATGTAACCCTCAAGTGCCACCATTCCTTGACTTTTTGCAAAAATGAAAGAATGGTCGTTTAAACACTGTCTCAATGCTCACTTTCCAGATTGTGAAATACGAAAGTGTATGGGTAACTATGTGAACCAAGATTGAAGTAAAGCATGTCGTGATATGAAATCACTTTGTGGCTTTCACAGTGGCTAGTTGAAATTAGCTGATAGTTTTGCACATAAACCGAATGTGACTTATCAGTTTCTCACTGCACTTCTCATTGGAGTTATTTCTTGTGTATGCGCAGTCTTAACTGTGTTCAGTGACGGCAGCAGCAGCAACACGAACAAGTAGAATAAATTCCTTCGATAGACTCCGACCTCTTCAAAATGTTCCCGTTCAAAGAAGAAATCACCCATTTATATTTGTCTAAGCCTCTTCAATTAGGAAACGAATAATCGAACAGCTAAATACTCACCCGATAGTCCCATGTTTGCAGCACCGTCGCAGAAGGGTTAGGAAGGCAGCCTGTGGACAGCAGGTATGTAGGTGATTTGATCAGCTCGTACCTACAGACTATACATACTGCAGAAAACTAAAGCGTATCCGTGTATTACACACCTCTGTGCTTGTTTGCCTGCTTGAAGCCAATATAATGAAGTGTTTCTAGCATTAACAGCAAAAGGTGGTGAGTTTTGCTAGCCGCTACTGACGGATGGTTTGCAAATAGGTAAAACACTCACCATTTGGCGTTTGAAACTATGGGCACTGGGTTCGAGCCTCGGTGGGACATCATCACTCACTGAGAAATGCAGGTACATCCAGCTGACGAGTCCCAAATAGGACGAAATGCGCATCCTGGATTCCACTGCTAGCCACCATCCACCAATTGTATACACTCACCATTTGGTTTAGAAAACACCAATTTACCTAAAGACACATTCTTACGACTTCGAGTGGTGTTTTTTGCAGTCCAAAGGATAAAACAACGACATAATATAGGGCACCAGTTCATTGTGTTAAATTATTTCGACTTCCCTTATTATCTGCATCTGCTGCCGGTCTCAAAGCTGCTCTAAATACATCTATTTAGGAGAAACACGAAAATATTCAGGAATTACATACACCTAGTTTTCCTTGTTGTTATATGGTGAGATAACACGGACAATGTGTACCAAATGAGGGTTATTCTCACATGATCCCACAGTTCAATATTGCGACGAAATAACGTGTTTCAATGTAGTTGAAGATTGAACGATCAATTCATGGTTGTTTGCTCAAACTCAACTCCTCCATATTTTTTGCGGGAGTCATCAATACGGCAGTCATCGTCTCATCGTTCGCTGTTCAGTGGAAGACAGAAAACTATCAGAAGTATTATCATGATTTATTGTTATAACATTTATTCTTAGACCTTGTGTGTAATAACCTTATTGTTGGTTACATATTGGCGTAGGAATAAAGGATTCGCGAGTCGCCAATCAGTGTTCTGGTTTTCGCGTTGGTTAACACAAATTGTTTCTGAAAGTCTTCGAGGGACAGCGTGAGGTCCAGCGTAGTAAGAGCTGGATATTGACAGTTACTGGGAATTGGATGACAGTTGGTTTACTTGATGGGTGGGAGGAGTGCAAGAGAAGCTTATTTAGCTTGTGGTAAATGATTGGTTTCAGCTTAAAACATCTTTTCCAGAGTGTTTCCAATCTCAATCTGTAGCATCACTCATAGTATTCCAGACCACTTTCTAAACCATGCGTTTTAGAGGTAAACTTCTGTTGCACTTCCTCTAATTTAAAATTGTCATTCTGTCGCAGTCCACTAAGAATAAACGGGTAGTATTCTAAAACAGGTCGGACACATGCTTTGTATACTAAAACTCTAGTTTCATAACAAAAGAAATTGCGTGTTATGCATCCTAGCAGCGTTTGTGTTATAAGTCTGGTATAATCATTCTGTTCAGAGAACGTTAGGTTATTAGAGTATCTAATACCGAGATCTACGACTGAGTTGAGCTTAGCTAGTTTTCGCCCATTTATTTCAAGAGTTAGATCAAGGTTACTGTTGCCGATACAAATCCAGCCGCGTTTGTCAATGTTAAAGTTTAGACAGGATTCAGCACACCATGTTGAGAGACTACTTAGTCCAAGATGCATTTTAGTAACCATATCGCTTAATTCATGAGTGTAGCAGGAGCAGACGACTTTGAGGCCGTCAGCATATAGGAATGGTTTACCTGAGATAAAGCACCTGCAAATGCTGTTAATGTGGACTGTGAATAAAAGTGGACCTAGGACACTACCTTGCACAACCCCACCTAAGATCTGCCTAGGATGAGACAATACAGATCCATTTTTGGTTATTTGTACCCTGTCGCTTAGAAATGATTTTAACCAGTCCAGTAATGGTTTGCGAATTCCACAAGAGTAAAGCTTCTCAAAGAGAATACTGTGAGATACCATGTCAAATGCCCTAGATATATCGAAGTAGAGAACAGCTACTAGCTTACGTGCTTCGCGACTACTAGTGATGCAGTGTCACCAGCACAGTCTGTACTGATTGCGGCAGTTTGGATAAGAAGAGTTCTTTGAAAAGTCCTTCATCAAACTGACTTTGGCCAAAAATATCTCAGCATGCTCACGGCTGATTGATCCCCTAGCTCGATGTTACGGAATAATTCGTCCGGACGTTGTCGATCCATGAGAATGTTTCTCCTGAGGAGGGACGCTTTGAGCAGCTCGTACGAGTTACTTACCTCTGGACTCGACATCTGCACAGTTGCGCACTTGCTGAATTCCCGTGGTAGGGCGTGAATAACTGTGAGGAACTGCAAACGTAGATCAGTTATCCCATATTCACAAAAATCTGCTTCAGCTATCTGAAACCACGTTTCAGCGTTATCTGGCCAGTACGGAACGAGATGAATGGTTTCGGCAGGTGAGCGAATACGAATGACCATGGTATTAGGATCACTCATGACAAAATGTATGCCGATTACAATATAGTACATGAACAATCACGCAGGAACGAACTCACTGGGGATATCTGCGTATGTATCGAAGTTGGAGTTAGCGGTTGGGCTCACCAGTTTAGAGGCTGACGGTATTGACGTTCAAAAATTGTACGGAGTATACTAACGCAAGATCCTATACCAACAACTTCTATAGTATTCGTTTCTCGTGGACCAAAGGAAAGCAAAGCAACAGGATTGGTTGTCCAAATTACGATACATATTTCTGGACCAAAACGTGGACTGAAGCGGAAGCTAAGCCGGCTAGTGACCATGCAGGAACGTGACACGACGCAGTACAAAATGGCGAGGATGCTTGACCGGAATCCTTCAGCTGAACAAGTTGACTTAAGGGTCGGCATCCAGTATTCACCGATGATCGCTATGGTCAATAATTTTGGGGAATTATTTACCGCTACAACGTAATGTTTACGTACGGACGCAATTTGCATTTCCCTTGACTGAAAAATACTAACTGAGGTAGCTGTACGCAATTTAGTGCATTATTAAGCATTTCATAGCACTTTAAGTAATTAAATTTTGTATTTATAGTGGTGGCAGTGCCTGCACCTTTTTGATTGCCTTATTTCTTTTTCAAGTATTAGCTTGGCGGCCTGTTCAAATTTTTCGGGCCAGCAACAATAATACCTACATTTTGCATCCAGTCTACTGTTTACCAACATTTATTTATCACCTAAATATGAATTCTAACAGAATCATTTACTCTCGTAACTTTATTAATCATTTACGACCAAATGACTTTCATATTCCAAAGAAACCAAGGAGGAAACATCGTAGTGGTTGGCAGAGAGCTCTCAAACGTACACCAATACACTTAACTACGGTCCCCGTCATAATGAACACAAACTGCCGCTCTCTGCCAAACAAGATAATGTACCTACAATCCTTGATGTCAACTGATACTTATCATAATACCGCCATAATCACATTACAAGAAACGTGGTTGCATGAACTGTATGATGACAACCTTATCTCACTAAAGGAC